TTTATAAAATTGATCATGTCACTCTTTACCTCTTTTCTGGACTTAATGTCCACAGATATTTCATTGTATTATCGCTCGACTGTGAATTTTCTTCAATCTCTAATAAAGAAATCCACTGCAATACATAATCAATATGACTAGGTTTGAATTTATCCAAAATCTTTTTTCCAAGCTCTACTAATGGATGTGTTTCAGGTAACTGTATGTTAGAATCTTTGTTCAAGTACATACAGCACAATGTATTGTAAGTACACTTTGAACAAGCACTATGATGATTAATTGGTTCTGGCAGTTTCAACATTTGCCAACTTGATTCAGACGTTAGATTTGACAACTTCTCGGTTGATTTTTGGATAAAATAAGTAGCTAAAGAGTTCCTTAATAGCATCAAATCTCTTTTCTCAGGATGGCTACTGTTAATCTCTTGCATATTATTTTCCCTAAATAATAAAACATATTTGTAATTTTCCCGTAATAAAATTTATATCATAAATTATTAAATATTTATATCATAAATTATTAAATTAAACTTTAAAATACTTCAACTTGAGTTACCTAAGATATAGTAAAAGACCTGTATCTGTATCTTGACTTGTAAGACTCATCATCATAATATAAAGAATAATTTGCCCTTTATGTTCTAAAGAAAATGAAGGTTTTCCTGTCTTGATTTCAATGGGCATAATTTTCCGTTTAGAATTTATTTTGACTTCTGCAGTAATGTCTACCTTCCCTTTTATGCCTAATTTCGGTTGCCAAATAGATTCTTCTATATCACGAATGTGAGTGATTCTACCTCTGAAGTTATTTTTCATATCATTTATTTTTTGCTGTGTTTTATCTGAAAGTATTATGGTTATTAACAGAAAATAACAAGATACGTATTACATATTCTGGTTACCATTCAAATAATGCTGTATAAATTCGTATATCTTCGATACATATGGGAGCATTTGTTGCCTACATGTATCTAAAGATATGTCTGATCCATAAAGTAAACTACTTGTGTCTTTGGTCTGCAATATGTTGTCCATTAACTTTATAATACTTTTTACTTCGTAAATATTTTTTTGTATTGCCTGTAATGTTAAATTTGCATTTGCAAAATGTTAAAGAAATACAAAAAAAAATGTTAAAATATTCTTACGTTTTGCAATAGTTCATGAAGTAAGCTTCCAATAACAAGTGGCGTTTGATCTCCCTCAAAATAAGGCAGGCTCTCCATCTTCCTGAACTTTTCAGTTAAAACTGCCTTCCGTTCACAAAATAGAGCACCAGCTATTGTTGTTCCAGATATTAATATGTCTGGATTAACAATAAGAAAACCACTACTATTATCTATAATCCACTGATTGTTTTCTTTCCGTGCTTCAATGACAACAACATCATCTTTTTGAACTTTGGTGTTTTTCCTAAGTTATAATCAAAAATATTATATTAAATGTTTTATTTTATACACATTATCATAATTGTATTCCTTACCAGAAATCTGAACACCTTACAGTTGCATCACATGTTTTATCGTCTTCTTGATTTACTGTTAATACTATACTATTGTACTCCACTTGTACATCAATAACTTTACACCTTTGTAAGGATTTAAAGTTAATTTGACTAGAATCTACGTACAATTCTTCCTCAAAACAATCTTTAAAATCATCTGCAAAGAATGATTCTAATTCTGAATGAATTCCATCATGTTTTACATTATTGGGCACAAATTTCTTCAGGTTGAGAAGGTTGTCACTTTTATTTGCTTGTAATATGTTACTTGTCATTATTTGCTTTTCATTGAGTTTACATATTGTACTTACACATTCACTAGTAATTTTACATTCACATTCACTAGTTATATTTTCTTTATATTCGTTATTTCTACTAGAATTACTGAACACATCATGAATTACATTAGCTTCATTTGAACGTGAATGTATTTGTTGTGTATCTTGCATAATATTACATACATTTGAAACATTATCATATTTTGTATGTTTCATTTGTAACAAGTCTATGTCTTCTGAAATCTTCCTCTTTCTTTGCATTCCATCGTTTGTGACACTGGTTTCAACTGTGCTATTTTCTGAAGGAACTTTCATAAAATACATTGATATCTTCTTTTGAGACAGCTTTGTACTATTAGTTGCATTGTTCTGTGAAAAAGAAAGAGATCATAATAATAAAACAAAGATGTTCATGAATTTTACATGTTCAATTATAAAAAAAAATTGTTGAATAAAAATTGCACATTGAATACTACAAAAATATACATTGGCTATTAAAAAAATATATATTAAACACATATAAAAATATTTAAAATATAGTATTCTTTTTAACCCTCCAGTATAGGACCTTTTAAGTTCATAAAAAAATCCATGAAAAAATTGTTATTCACCTTGAAGAATTAATAAATAAAATAACTAAGTCTTTTTAACTAAGTCCTATTTATTATAATTATAATTGTATTTATGAAAATAATAATTTATTTTTTTCATTTATTAGATATTATTAGATATTACATTAAATATTACCTTTTTAAGCGGGAATTCAACTTTCTTCATTGTGATTGTAACCTTCAGTCCTTTATTTTCCAACGTTCTTTATTCAAAAGGAAAGACAAGAAGGGCTCGTGAAATTGCAAGAGAAAGAAAAATGAAACGCATTTCAGAATCTGTATACATAGGGAATTTAAAGAAATATTTTACTTTTGAAATATAAATATAACATAAAAATTAAAGAATTATTTCATTATATAGCGAGAATTCCATTGATGTTTTAATTCATTGAAAAATATGCCTATAACACGTGTGTTATATATATGAGTATAATATATAATCAAAGTAACCTGATACAAATGAAATCTTTATATTTGCATCGATATTTTTAATTTGAATGATTAATCCTGTGATAATTGTATTCGATATTTAAAATAATATAAATTTAAATATATCGATATATATCTTATCTAATGAATCGGGAAAGCTAATAGTGAATGAGCATGTCGAAATCTAGAGAAATATGTTGGTTCCTAATCTTGAGATGCCGTAAAGTAAAGATGAACTTTTAATGCGCATAAAAATTTCTTTAAAATTTCAGAGGAAAGCAACTCAGTTCGAATATATAATTTACAATTTATAAACGATTACCCGCCAATAACAAGTTACATCACATGATTAGTTGAACTTACATCATTGGTGGAGACTGTTGAACACGACATAATTAATTACGTTGATCAGCGAAATTGAATTACTCTCCTTAAATTATCTAATATTTATATTATAATTTCGTTGAAATGTTATATTATATATGTTACATTATCCTTGAATAAATGTCCTTTATCATTTATTAAATAGAAGTCAGTATCGGAATTATCTAGTAATCTTTAGCAATGTTGTCTGAAAGATAGATTGTTTTATGCATTAGTATTCTGGTGAAATTATATTTACTTCATGATGTATATAATTAAATATGTTTGAGAAATATTTGAACTATATTATCCTATGTGATTGATTGATGTTGCACCCGTTTCTCAGTCTCATTCTTCATTGTTGCATGTTTCTAACCTATTCAAAAAGTTAATCAAGGATGAAAGTCAAATTGAATTTATTTAATCATTTCATAGATAAAACTTACAGTTGCGTTAACGCAAAGTATTATTCACAATCTAAAGTTCTATTTAATAAAACGGATGTCAATTTAAAAAATTGGCAAGAGGAACTTGATAGAACTATGCAAGTTGTACCAAATTTTATTACAACTGAAGAAGAAAAGTCCTTAATCGAAGAAATTGATCCTTATATAAGCAGATTAAGATACGAACAATCGCATTGGGATGACGTTAGTATAACAAGTGAATCGTTATTTTTTATCAGATTTTAATTACACATTTTAATCAATTGTTGCAGGCAATACATAATTATAGAGAAACAGAGAAAAGTAAGTGGAATGAGAGAAACATAAAAATATTAAATAGAATTCAAGATAAGGCATTTCCTAAAGATATGTCCAAAATTTCATTGATACATGTTTTGGATCTAGCACCGGAAGGATGGATAAAACCACATGTCGACAGCGTCAGAGTATGTATTTTACTTTTTAATTTCTAGTAACAAAATTTATATGATATTTTTGTCGTAGTTCTGCGGAGAAATTATTGCTGGTTTAAGTTTGTTAACCGATAGCGTAATGAGATTAAAAATGGTTAATAATGAAACTTTATATAAGGATTTTTTATTAGCTAGAAGATCTTTATACATAATGAGGTAATATAACAATCTTTTTTGGTAATCTAACTATGTGTTTTCAATTTATTTGTATTATATATACATTGTCTAATAACTTTGTTTTATAGTGGTACAGCTAGGTATAATTATAATCACGAAATTTTAAAAAATAAAGAATCTTTTTTTGAAGGACAACATGTACCAAAAGATAGACGTATTTCAGTAATATGTAGATGTCAACCACAACGTGACACTTAGTATACAGTTAAATGTTTAACTTGAGTTTCCAAAAAACAAAGTCTTAAATGAAAAAATGTTACTCTCTCTTTAACATATTTTTTCATGTAAAATAATCTTCTGTTGTATCTTCATTATTGGAACATCCTGTATAATTATACAAGTTTATATTGTGTATGTATATATTGTATATAAAAGATATAAAATACAAAATTATATATATATATATATATATATATATATATATGTTCTGTTTGATGAATCAAGTTAAAGGTAAATACAAAGAGCCATGTGATACTGTAGTTGTTGGTTGATAATCACTAGTAAATTATAATCTTAAGGAATGATCTTGTCAATTTGCATTAGTATTTTTTAAAAATCTATAAATTGAACTGTTAAATTTATCACGTATAATTAACCAGTAATAAAATATATTTAAGAAATTGATGTGTGGGACGTTTTATTTTATTATATTACAGAACACTAAATTCGAACTAGTTTCCTCTAGATTTCGATCGCTTTCGATGGCTTTATTTACTTCCTGTTACTCAATCCCTTGGATTGGTATAGCCTCCTTTTCCATAATAAAACTAGACCGTATTTTATGATAAAATTAGAGGTTAAAAATCAGGATTACGAATGTTGATACATGGAGATGATATGAATATTTTAAATCATGATCTCGACGGGGATTAAAGACGCGTTAGCTACGTCTGCTTCAATTTGCACAGTTTTACAATTTTTGGCCGGCGTGTAAGTAAAAATAAAAACCAGCTCCGGACTTAACCTTACAAGTAATGGTTATCCTAAAGCATAATTATGCGATTTGTTGACATAAGTTGACATAAGTTGACATAAACATGTCAAATAAAACCGTAAATTAGAATTATATAATTTTATAAGATATAAAAGTTTTTGATGGTAATAAAAAAGTACTTAAAAAAATAAATATTCATCTTTCTTTTTCAAAAATATTTGTTACATTTGTGTAAATTTCATTGTTCGAGAATAATATGGGAAAGTTAAAAAAATATGTTTTAGGCTAGTATGCAGAAAGATCATTAAAAATGGCACTACGGGAAATAGTTCAGCCTTGGCATTTGTAACATGTTATACATCGTAAGTGTTATATTTCTTTGATCCTAAGAATAATTTATTACTGATAATTGTTTTTTTTTTGTTAATACTTATTCGTATTGTATAAAAGTTTTGATAAGTCTTGACATTTACTTAAAAATTGTCATTAGAGTCAAGTCTTGTACAATATGTTACAGATGCATCTTATGGATGAGATATGGTATGCTCATTGGAGATCGATTTATATTGTTAGTGAATGTATTTGGTTCAATACTCCAAGCGTCTTACGTTTACGTATTCATTTTATATAGTGTAAAAAAGTTTAAACCAATAAGGCAAATAATTGCAGCAACTTGCTTTCTCACAGTTGTGTACTTTTATAGTTTTTATGAGGAAGACAAAACTTTAGCCTCAAAGTACGTTGGTTTCCTTAGTTGTACAATAACAGTATTATTTTTTGCATCTCCATTAATGATGTTGGTAAGTCCTAATTTTTTTTCAGTAACAGATAATAGTTGGCTGGTCTGAAAGAAAGATAAATGAACAAAATATTTTCCAGGCACATGTAATAAGAGTTAAAAATACAGAAAGTTTACCGTTTCCCATTATTATGGCTTCTTTAATAGTTTCTTGTCAGTGGTTTGCGTATGGTTGCCTTTTGAATGATCAGTTCATAGAAATACCAAACTTTCTAGGCTGTGTATTATCTGCATTTCAACTTTGTTTCTTTTTAATTTATCGTAACGATCAATCTAATGAGGCTCACTTGATATAATATTAAGAAATATATTTCACAAATTATGCTCCTGTAATTGGAGAAGATATCATATATATTTTTTAGCATATTGACTGTAAATTAAGACACTTGATATATGTTCTCACGAAGAAATATATTTTTGAAAAAATTAATTGTCTTTTTAATTAAAAAAAGATACTGTACGTTCTTCGAATTCAATTCCTTCCCGCCAAAAATGAGGCTAACCGAGCATTTCACCGGTGCTATAAAATTCCCTAGATAGCAGGACAAGAATTGATAAATGTATAATTCATAAAAATACAATAGCATTAAACAATATTCATTTTGAAAAACAGATACATAATGAATTCATTGTAAAAAATATTTCTCATGTTACAAATAACTTTTCCAATTCAATATTTTACTTTGCAATATCAACACATGTTAAATGATAATTTCAATATTTATCATTTTAATTTTTATTTCTTGTTTTTTAACACGTAAGCTATACAAATACATATTCTACAGTAACTTAAAACTCACATAAGTGCTTCATTTGATTTCAGTATTAATTACGTATCTTTCTCAAATGTTCCGAAAGAAGTATCGTTTAATCGACGAGAGATATTATTTCCACTCCAAAAAATTCTCTCGCGCTTAAGTATCAAAATGTCGATCGAGACATTTCGGATTTCCTCCTCAGAAATGTTAATTTCAAAAACGGAAGTGAAGTGGAAATTTCCAGACATATTACCGCGGTGTGCGTATATTGGTTAAGTTCCGGGGCGGATCGGTTGGCAACACTGGCGGAGGTGGAGGCAAGAAGAGAGAAAGAGGTGCGGTGTTGCGTGACTGACTGCGAGCTCGAGCGTGTGTGTTTGTTGTGTTGAACGAGAGGAAAAATTTGTATACTCTCCTTTCTCGAAAAGAAAACGAAAAGAAAAAAGAAAAAGAAAGGAAGAAAAAGGAGAAAAGGGAAAAACCGCTTGATTTTTGTTTGGAGAAAAAGACCGTGCGTTTGGAAGGGGGAAAAAATCATGTCGTCGTACATCCAGGTTGCCGAGGATGAGGGTGACGAGCCGATCGAATTGCCAACCGAGGACGATAGCACACTCTTATTGACCACCGTAACCGCCCAATTCCCTGGGACATGTGGCCTGAAATATCGGAATCCAGAATCTCGGACGATGCGCGGCATTCGTCTTGTTGACGGGCGCCTTCATCCTCCAGAAAATGGATGGGGCAAGGCGATTTACTTCTGTGTTTTTCCTAAAGGTGCTTATTTCACTACAAAGTATCGTCTTTTCGATCTCTCTTTCTCTTTTTCTCTCTCACACTCTCTTTCCTCTCCCTCTCTTCTTTCGTTCTTCTCCCCACCAACTTCCCCTTCCCCTCTGTCTTTCCTCCCCCTGAAAATATACCAGCGACACACGAATCAAGATCAGGTATATATATATATATATATATTGAATATATATATATATATGTATGCATATGTATATATAATTCTATATACATATGTAAGATGAATAAAAATATAATATATTTTAAGTTTTTTGTAAATTTTAAAAGAGATGATTTCTTGTTCTAAGTTTTTGTAAAAAAATATGAGAAGCACTAGTTGAGAGTTATTATGACTTTGATTTTTGAGATCAAAATTCTATAGAATTTTCATTCTTGTTAAAACAAAAGTTTCCTATAATAATAAATATTGATTTGATTTATGATGATTCTTTGTTTGTTACTGCAAAATTATAATTTGATGTTAATTGTTAGATTTGTCAGTTTCTGCAAAATTTTTCTTTAGAAATATTGTTGTTGCTCATAGATTTGATCTTGAATTATTCACATCCACTTTATTATGATGATTATGGACGTTTATGCATTTTATGTATTTTTTAAAAATTTTAAACAGAGGTAGTTTGGATATTTTATATATTTTTTAGCATTATGCACATATATAATTTTTTAATTTATTACTTATATTTATTATACAAATCCTTTGTGGACAATAAGAAAGTTGTTATTCAGTTATTCATGTTTAATTCTTTTAATATTCTAGATTTTGAAAAGAATGTTCAGTTAATGAAGCTTTTCTTATATTATACAACTTTCAAAGGTTTTTAAAGAAGAACAAAAATTTATAAGTAAAATTTATTTTAGAATTTAAATGATCTGATTATTTATGATAGGTTAAAAATAGGTGAACTGAATTCATGATGTCATAAGAAATTGTTACATGCATCTTCAAATAATGTAAATTCATTTGAATATTTTTTATAAAATCATAAATAATGAATATATTTTGCTATTCTGATTTGAATACTTCACTTACATGCACAAACGTTTATGATCACTTTCCTTTCTCTTTTCCTTTCTTTTTTTTTCTTTTTTTTTGAAGTCCAGTACATGTGTTTATGTTTATTGTGCAGTAAATTTTTCTCTCTTTTCTTTTTTTAAATGAATTAATATTTTTACTATTTTACTACTTTACTATTTTACTACTTTTTTTCAAAAACAGAATTTTACCTTTTCTCACAATGTATGACTTTTGTAGTAATTCTCCAATTCCTATAGCCATATGTTATTTTCTATCTCCATAAGAGATAGAAACCTCAGATTTTATTTTAAAACATGCATAAGATATCCTTCTTTTTTTTTTAATAATTTCCAATTTTTTTATGATGTTTCATTAGTTACTACGAATGACAAAAAAATTTCTCCGATTAAGAAAAAATAGAATGGAATAATATAAATAATATGACTCAAAATGTTAATTTTGTATATTTACACAATTTATACAATTCAATATTCATATTAGATATATACTTTATATTTTCCTTTACATTGTAATAGCATAATTGAGTAACACAAAACATAATTTTTTTTTCTTTTCTTTTACAAACATGTACAAGTAGATTGGAGAAAAAATTGAGCTATAATGTTGTGAATTAATTATAAAACCAATCATTGGAGTATATTACCACCTGTAAAGCATTAGTTTACTTGGGAAATGATTGAAAGTGTGTGTGTGGGAATTGGAGGAACAGATAATTATATTTAACTTTGAATACTTTTGAATATTTTTTATTTAACTTTGATTTTTTTATTTAATCATATTAACATAAGCACATGCTAATATATGATTGAATTAATAGACTTAAATTGTAAAAATTTGCATTGTCTTATTTTATTAATGACATTAATAAATATTCATTTATTTATAACAATTAAAATTTCTTTACATTTATATATGTGTATAACTATTCAAAAAGTTGAACTTGAATATTTAATATGTGTATTTTGTACACACATGTATACACACACACACGCACACACACGCAGAGTTACATACGCAGTATGACAAATTTTTTATATTTTTTGAGAAATTATAATTTTTGTACTGGATTTCCATACTTTAACTTTTTTTTTTATTATTATTTTTTATTATAGTCACGTTTATTTTTTTCTCTCTTCTTGTAAATTTATATATATATATACATGTAGAATCTTGTAATATGGCTCAAATTTTTTTGGAAAAGGTTCTAGTAAAATGAAAAAAAGTTAGTAGACATGAACACTTATATCTTTTCAGAGAACAAACGTAAATCTGATGACAATTTGGAAAATTCCACAGCTAAGACTAAAAGAATGGAAACAAAGTTGCGTTGCACAGACTTGATCGTACTCGGTTTACCATGGAAAACCACTGAGCAGAACTTGCGAGAGTATTTCGAAACATTTGGTGAAGTACTCATGGCACAGGTGAGTTCTGTCAGTTCTACTCTTTTCCCCGCTCTCTTTTTTATTTCAAATATTTTTAAAAAACATTATGTATATATATATGTATATGAAAGAATTCAGTATTAAACAGCGAGATGTTAGAGCTAATTACAGTGATTATTTCATTAAAATCTGATGTGAGTTGTGTGTTGTAGGTTAAAAAAGATGCAAAGTCAGGACAAAGCAAAGGATTTGGCTTTATTAGATTTGGAAGTTACGAGTCTCAGTTAAGATGCCTTGCTCAGCGACACATGATTGATGGGCGATGGTGTGATGTCAAGGTTCCCAACAGTAAGGTAAGAATATCATTATGTTCATTGACAAATATTAATTGTTTCTTTATGTACTTCGAGTAGCTATGAAATGTTCAACTATTTAACGACTGTCTAAGATCTTAATGCATATGTAGGATATTCACGTGCAAATCATAGATTTATATTTGTCTTTTGAACTTATCCTGTTTTATCATATAACAGTAACGTAATTTTTGTGAAAAATTTTTAACATTTATCTTGTATTTTCTCTGTGAAATTGTATACATATGTGTTTCTCTGTGAAATTATAATGAAGATATACATATCTTATATTATCTTTCTTGTTATTTAAAGATTTAGCAAACACAATGATATAACATGTACCATAAAAAAAGATGTTCTAAAAATTATAAAAGCAAAAGCATGTTGTTAATTAAATGAAAAGCAAAATAGCCTTCTTGCAAGTAATTGAGAATTGAGAAGTAATTGAATCTTCTTGAAAGAAGAATGATTTTTGTACATGTACTTTATATAGATCTATGATGCACGGCATAAGGTATTATTTGTCGCGCTATGAACGGTATAAATTATAAAAAAAAAAAAAGTTAAAGGAATGATTGAGGCCTGACAATGGCATAGACGCGAATTTTCCTTTAAAAGATTCTTTACTCTATTACGAATATTATTGCACAATGACCAAGAGACGTTTAATTGTTTTCCATTTACAATTTTTGAACGTCATTTCTTATATATATATATACATATCTCTTGAGAAGAAAGTATACTGTGGTATAAATAGATGAATGTGAAGTCGAATTAAGTGGCATATTTATAAAGGAAATGTGATATATGTGTATGAATGTTTCAATGAGTGTTGTACGATGCAAAGTGAGATACTTTTAAAGAAGTATGCTTGCGTGGCCTTGTAAATAACATTGGTATGTTTGTGTTCTCTTTAAATAGTGTGGAAACTCTCACGAGTAATGCTATCAGAGCGTAGCACTGTCAGTCATTTTTTATTTCTTTTCCTTCTTTTTTTCTTTTTTTTTTTTTTTTTTTTTTTTTGATATA